CGCCCCTCCCCCCTCTCCAGCAGACCACTCTGGACCCGTCTTATGAACAGATTAAACAGCACAGTGGCCGCCCGAATCATAGGTGTTAAACCGATTGCAGCAACCAGGTTGATACAATCGGCTTAGTCTTCCAAGGGTTGCTTAGAAGCAAGCTGATGGCGGTTTTGATTTCCTGGCCAATTTACCATCGAAACGAATGAACGAATCGTGAAGGGAATCGTTGTCTCGACCTTCAGCACAACAGTTAAGCTACTTGCGGCTTTTGCCATGCTCATAATCCGATCAGTGATTAAACTGAACTGAAAAACACACAAATACACAAACAAACCATTCACGTGAAGTTGCTGTAGGCCGTAAACCACAATCGATCGCTCGGATATTTTGTCTTTGCAGATTCCGTCGAAATGCTAGTGTCGGGCTATTATCATCCCATGGCATCATATCAAACTGATCATCCCATACACCAGCGCATGGTTGATATTGACTCTGCTTCTAAACAGCATATTTATTAGTGCCAATAGATTGGCGTAAAACCTATTAGATATATCGATCGTAAATTTTCGCCCAGAAGCTAATCCCGACACGGTTAGGATTCAAATTTAAAAACCTTGCAATTGTAAATGCAGTTGTTTTGATGACAAAGCTGCATTTACGATAACGGGGTATTATTTGTTAAATGCTTTTATTTGTTTTTTTTCCCCAATCCTTTCTTTTACATTTCCGATCCCCATTAATTATTTTTTGGCCCTTTCTTTTCCATACCGTAACCCACTGTTCGGAGAGAACAAACATTTCCGGTGTCTGGGAATACATCTGGAGGACGGTAGACTTGGCGAGACAACAGTCTGAACCGCCCCCCCTCTTTCCCTACTACGTAAGGCCCCCTTTCCCTCAGTTGGGATCTTCTTCTGGACCTTCATCATCTCGTCAACTCGATCTACGGCGCCGCCACGACAATCTTCGGGTTTTTCTTGGCTTTCGGATTACGGCTCATTTGGACAGCATTCCATTCGCATGCCATCCACTGGCACTGGGCTCCAGAACAATTATTAACTAAATCGGGTCCTCCAGCAAACTCCATGTTTTACAGATGAGTTACTTCCTTTTTACCAATGCGCTAACTGCTGACTGTGCATAATGTCCCGTACCCCTCCGTTCTCATTTTATAATTAAATGCAACTACGCATCATAAAGAACTTTTATAATATGTCAGCTTGTGTGCTCCACTAGACCACGTCAAGATCAGAGCCTCATCGGGCATGTCCCACATTTACTCAATATATAACATTTTACAATTTGTCAAACACTGTCTAAAATGCGCTGCTCCAGCTTATGAAAAAAACCCCAGTAAAATTACCCTATATGTGACAATACAAACAGGGGCAAAATCGATTCTACTTAGAAATAGAGAGGGTAATAGGGGCCATGGTGGCCCCTCAACCAAGAAGGGGTCATTCCAAATAGAAATGTCAGTATTGTGGTAGACGAGGGTTGGTAATAAAAACCTCAGTACCATGCGTGCCAGTACTTTTCTTCGACCATATCAATAGGATACCAAGAAAAACAAGACCCCCCCCCCCCCCCCCCCCCCCC